GCAACCCTACCATGTGTCCTTACCCCTGACTGGGAATCGAACCAGCAACATCTTGATGCTCAACCAACTGAGCCACACTGGCCAGGGTGAGAGCACACAATTTATAAGTGTTTCTATCTGACAGGAATGACAGGGACGTTGTGCCCCTTTTTTGCTGCTCCGTGAGAGTGGAATCAAACCTGGGGCTCAGGTGTGCCTCAGAACCTACCCCGGGGCCCCTGGCTTCAGGATTGATGGGTGAAAGCCCATTCCATCCCACTTCGGCAGCCCACGGGCCCCTTCTCCATGAGTGCCCTTTTGCCCCACCCCTTCCACAGCCCATGAGATTAATAACAAGGTCCTGCCCCAAAAGGGATTTACCCTTCAAGATAAGAGAGCAGCTCAGGAAGCTGCAGTGCAGTGTTTTTCCCTCCTCCCTCCTCCCATCAGGGCTCACTGGGCAGCATTTGGGGACATCTAAGGTCCTAATGACCTCGGGAGCCGGGCACCAGCCTGGGTGGGCCAGGAACGCTGCAGCACCCCACAGTGTCCAGCACGGCCCCAACGAGAACATGCCCCAAACGTAAGCCTGAGGAGAGGGATTCTAAAGGGAGGGAGGGCAGCATTTGCAAACAAGATGTTGGTTGTGCAAACCCTTTGAAAAAGTTCTGGTAGCGCTTGGCTGGCACGGCTCAGTGGTTGAGTGTTGACCTATAAACCAGAAAGTCATGGTCCCAGTCAGCGCACATGCCCAGGTTGTAGGCTCGATCCCCAGTGTGGGGCGGGCAGGAAGAAGACAATCAATGATTCTCTGTCATCATTGATGTTTCTATTTCTCTCTCCCTTCCTCTCTGAAGTCAATACAAACATTTTAAAAAAGGTTCTGGCAGCTCTGACCTAGAGAAACAGGTTGTGATTTGCCGGCTTCCTGCCTAGATCTGACATTCTCTGTCAGGGAGCTGGTCCCGCAGCTCCTTCCCGGTGATGGGTTTTAAAGCAATCGGATTCCTCCAGGCCTGTGTTGCTTTATCAGGGATCCCCCTAAACCACATGTGTCAAACACAAGGCCCGCGGGCCAAATCCGTCCCGCCAGGCCTTGCAATGTGGCCCACACCGCGCTGTCATCACTGCACTCCGCTGCGTTTCCATCACAATGACAGTTTATGACTGTTCAGTAAACCATTCGGCCCGCGATTTAGGCTGGATTTTAGATTTTGGCCCCTTCTCTGATTGAGTTCGACACCCCTACCCTAAACCAATCTCACGGCCCTAATTTTGGCAGTTTCGGACATCCAGGCTTGGGAGCTCAGGGTCCGGTCACCTGTGTCCCTGCCCACCACCCAGCGCTAGGACACACTCGCTGACAATCTGACAGATTGATTGAACCCTTTCTGAATGATAAGGAAAACAGAAATTAATTATCAGGAGGTTAACGAAGGAAGAACCTCAAGTACTCTTGGTTTGAGATTGTAGTTTTTGTCTTCCCTTTTCAAGGTGACAGATGACAATGCTGAAGTCTGCCTCTGGGAACTAGCGAGCATCGCCGGCTGGCTCGAAGCCAGGCCTGTGCTGACCGTGCCCTGTGCCCGGCCCTTAGGAATGCAGGCCCATTTCAGGCCAGGTTCCAGGCAGGAAGGGATCCAACCTCACCCAAGTCTAGGCTCGGCCTGGTCTCCTCCTGCTCCGCAGGCTGTTCCCTTAGCACCGACTGGATGACACACAGTCCGAGGAATTACTGAGCCCTCCTGAGGGCAGGCTCAGTGAAAGCTATTGGAACCGCCATGTAGGCAAAACCCATGAGATTCCTGCCATTTGGGATCTTGTCTCTCCAGGGAGACTCAGCCTTGAACCATATGATGCTGATGGGCACAGGGTCTCTCCGGGGGCAGTGCAGGGTCCTGGGATTATATAGTGTGAGGCTTGCACCCCCTGTGAATACCCTACAAGCCACTGAATTGGACACTTTAAAAGGGTAACTTTTATAGTATGGGAATTACACCTCAATTTTTAAGATATGCTTTTATTGATTTCAGAGATGAAGGAAGAGGGAGAGAGAGAGAAACATCAATGATGAGAGAGAATCATTGATTGGCTGCCTTCTGCACACCCCCACCGGGGATCAAGCCCGCAACCCTGGTATGTGCCCTTGACCAGAATCGAAACCGGGACCCTTCAGTCCGAAGGCTGGTGCTCTATCCACTGAGGCAAGTCACCCAGGGCTACACCTCAGTGTTTTACAAAGGGTGTGGACAGGGGGCTCATCGTCTGTAGGAAGTGCTGCCCGCAACAAACGTAAGCATGAGTCCTCCCCAAGGGCGACCTGATCCTCACGGTGAACAATGCCCGTTTCCTTGAGGATTTATTTCTCCCTCCCAGCACCTGGGGTTTTCTACCCAGAGTGTTGGTTATTTGTGTCTGAGGTTTACATGCCCTGCCTCACTGCCTGAGGGCGTCTGTGGGGTTTGCAGGCCCCTGAGCACCCTGCTGTTGCCATCTTGAAATTTGCACTAATTTTTTAATCAGGGATCCCACGGTTTCATTTTTTTCACTGGCTCTGCAAATTCTGCAGCAGGTCCACCAGAGAAGTCCCACTTCCTCTTTTCACTGCTGACCCTCGTGCGGTGGCGGGGAAGGTTGTGGTTGGGAATGACTCTGATGGGGAAGTGAAAGCCTAGCGGTTTGTCTGGGTGAGCGAGCCCGTGAAGGTCACGGGGATGGCCCGGTGCCAGCTGGTGGAGCGCACAGCCTGCCATCTCGTGGCCCCGGGGACAGAGCATCAGGGATGTGTTTGTCCAGGCTGCTCCCTGCCCTGGCCCAAGCTGGTCTGGGCCAAGGGCGGCAGGGGTGGAGATCACTTCATTGCTCAAGTCCAAGTTCAAGGGCTCAATTTCAGCAGCCAGCAGCAGGTGTCCGCAGGACCTGGAGACAGGGAGATTTGCAGTAGGCAGAGTGAGAAAACATTTTAAAATAATTCGTAAGGCATCCACATTTGTAGCAGGAAGATTCATAACAGCCAAGAGGTGGAAACAGCCTAAATGTCCACTCATGGATGATGGAAAAACAATGTGTTCATCCACACAGCAGCTATGAAAATCAGTGAGTCACCGACACTCGCTACAATGTGGATAGATCTTGAACAGAGGGTGCTCAGTGAGAGAAGCCAGACACCAAAGGCCACACAGTGTGTGGTTCCATTTATGTGAAATGCCCAGGACAGGCACATCCTCAAACAGGAAGTAGGTTAGTGGTTGCCGGGGGCTGGGGAGTGACTGCTGATGGGGACAGGTATCCTTTAAGGGTGATGAAAATGTCCTAAATTTAATTATGGTGTTGGTTGCACAACTTTGTGAGTATGCTAAAAACCACTGAATCATGCACTTCAAATGGGTGAATTGTGTAACAGGAGAATTGTATCTCAACAAGACTGTCTAATTACCAGTTTATTAGCCACTGTTTCCTGGTTTTGACAATGTCCCTGAGTTGTATAAAGAGCTTCCATCTGGGGAGCTGGGACTCCTCTTTACTAACTTGGCAATTTCTTGTGTTTTTAATTGATTCAAAAATTCAATCTTAAGGCTGTTGAAGGATCATATACAGAGATAGTTCGTGCAAGGATGAGGCGAGTCTTGGCCTCCAAGTCTATGGCAGGTTGTTCCAGCCCTTCTATCTCTCAGCTCTTCCAGCCACTGCTGCTTGGTAGCACGTCTGCGGGTACCCCTCTTGCCCCAGTGCCCCAGCAGTTCTTGTCCTAATTTGCAGCCTAGAAGAGCAGATTCTGTTGGGTAGATTCTTAGCTTCAGGATCCCAAAGGGCTTAGGGCATTCCTGGAGCAGTGGTGCCACCTGCAGGTAATGGTGGGGATTTCAGTTCACCATCCTGGCCTTTTAACTGACAACACATTAGCCTGAACCCAGAGAAAGGAAACAGCACTTGAAGTTTTTCATTGAGTTGTTTTGTTAAGTACACTTTTTATTTCAGAATGGTTTAAGATTTTCAGAAGCGTTTCAATAGTACAGCGAGTTCCTGTCTACCCCATCGCCTAGTTTTCCAGTGGTCACACCTTCCATAATCATGGGACATGGGTACATTCATGTGAACTCAGCTCCACTCTCTATTCAGATTTCACTAGTTTCTTCTCTTTCTGCTCGGGGACCCCATCTATGGCCCCACAATGCATTTAGTCCTCACAACTCGCGAGCCCCATGTGGCTCTTTGGCCCCTTGACTGTTCTAACACCACTTCTTCAAAACAGACTCACCCAGGCCGAAAACCGACTTCTGCTCATGGGCCACGAACTTTCAGTCACACTGTATGTGCACGCCTGCACGTGGTATTTTGTGGAAGAGCCACATTCAAGGGGCCAAAGAGCCGCATGTGGCTCGAGAGCTGTGGTTTGCCGAACACTGCGTTAGGCAAATCTGGGTGACTTGGTCACCCTGTGAGTACCTTGGGGCAAGAGGTTGACTCAGTCTCCCCTTCTTCCTCCCAGGGGACCATGAGGTTCAAATGATGCAGGTGAATGAATGCCTTTGGTAAACTCTAAAAGGTCATGTAAACATCCAACTCTCTCATTTAACTTCATTCTGGAAACTTATTAGGGATAATGTCATCAATCTCTAATTGCCTCCCTTTAAAAAATAAAATCCTCGCCGGAGGATATGTCCACTGATTTTAGAGAGAAAGGAAGGAAGAGAGAAACATTGATGTGAGAGAGAAACATCCATTGGCCACCTCCCATGTGTACCCCGACTGGGGATCAAACCAGCAGCCTTTCCATGAGCGGGATGACACTCCAACCAACTGAGCCGCACCAGCCATGGCTCTCCCTGCCTTCTCAGATCTACTCTCTCTGCATCTGGAAGCCTCCTGTGTGTGCTGTCCCCAGTGCCTGTCAGAGTGACCCAAAGGCAGGACTCCCAAAATGATTTTTACTATTGAGCTCATGACACTTCAATGTCCACAGTAACATCCACATTTCTGGCCACACAATGATCAACTAAAGTCTTACATTTTTCTTCCAGGGAGCGGACTTTTGGTTCCTGGAACCTCGGTGCTGAAGACAGCTCAGCCGTGCACACAGGTTGGTGTCCTGATGCTTTTCTTTTCTCCACATTCACACTTCATGCAGTTGTTGGGTTGGCCAGCCTGAGCCAGGATGAGAGTTAAGAGGCTGGTTTGCTGTTGGAGCATGCGCCCTTAACTGTGCATGCCTGACTCTTCTCTGAGGGTTTGTCCTTTCTGCCAAGAGTGCGCGGGAGCCCGGCAGGTGTGGTTGAACCAGGAGGGGCACATTCCCAGGTTGCGGGCTTAATCCCAAGTAGGGAGTGTGCAGGAGGCAACAGATCAATGATTCTTCCTCATCATTGATGTTTCTATCTCTTCCTGCCTCTCCCTTTCTTTCTGAAATCAATTAAAAATTTTATTTTAAAAAAGAGCACACGAGTGAGGAATGTCTTCTGCTCTTGGGCTCCAGTCACCCATGAAGTAGTAGGGGAACATGGACTGGTCCCAGTGCACCCTAGGATGGGGTCAAGGCAGAAAGTGGCCACTGTGCTAGCCTGCTTTCAGCAGTCTTAGCTTAACCATTGACAGGAACAGCGCTAAGTCACTAGATGTGATCAATATGTGAAACACATCACCCACCCAGTAGACTGGGAAACACCACAGTGGCTTCAGGAAGGTTCCTTTTTTGTTGTTAATTTTCACCCAAGGATATTTCCCCCCTTGATTTTTATAGAGAGTAGGAGGGAAGTGGAAGGGGGGAAGAGGGAGAGAGAGACAAAAAACATCAACGTGAGAGAGACATATTGATTCATTGCCTCCTGCATATGCCCCAACAGGGGCTGGGTATCAAACCTACAACCCAGGTATGTACCCTTGACTGGGAATCAAACCCAAGACTCTCTGGTGCTCAGGCTGACACTCTACCCACCGAGCAATGCCAGCCAGGGCCAGGAAGGTTTTTAACAAGTTAAGAGCAAAGCTAAGGCTCGGGTCTTGTTCTTTTAGCTCCTCTGTTTACCTCTGGTATCATTCCCCAAAGGATTTTGAGTGGTTTGTATAAACTGGGAAGAAGAAATAACATAAAAATCAGAGATTGCTGTGTGCTCTGGGTTACCACTTGCTTGTTGTATTTACTATAATTCTCTGGCATGTTTCCAGCCCCATTTCTTGCTCCTTCTTCTTTCATAAATGTCTTTGCTACTCCTATGGAGTTTTCTCTTTCATGCAATCTTTAGAATACATGTATGGTTACTAATAAAAAATTCTGATGGCATTTTGATTAGGATTGTGTTATCGATAAACTCGAGAGAGATCTGGTGTCTTTATAATGTTGGCTACTCCCATTCAGTGTGTGTGCTTGTGTAAAAAAAAAAAAAAAAAAAAAATGCTGGGAAAGAAGGCAGACCCCAAAGACAACAACGATGGTTCCATCTAGATGAAATGTCTAGAGGAAGCAAACCTGTTGTGGCTGCCAGGGCCCGGGGGGAGGGGCTGGTGTGGAGGCGCGCCGGATCTGACGGGTGAGGCGCAGGGTCCACCAGGGGCGGTCACACAGCTCCATGAACTCGCCAGGAAACCTTTCGAGGTGTGCACTTCCCACTAGTGAATTTTACAGAAGGCGAAGTGTACTTCAGTGACCTTAAAACACAGATATTTTAGCTAAGCCAGAGCGAGCGGCTGTTCGCGAGGCCAGAGACCCAAAGCGGAAGTTGGAGCCTGGTGTCTGCCCGCCTTGTTCACGCTCAGCCCAGGTCCAGAGAGGATGGAAAATGTAACGCCTGCTCCACAAAGTCGCCCACCAGAGGGGGATTTGGTGAACTGCGAGCAGGTTGTCAGGCAAGGTTGTGGCTGGTGCATGGTCTTCGCAGCACGTGGGTGGACCTTCCTCGTTCACTCTCTTCAGGGTCAGCGTCGCACTGACTTCCTGTGAAGAGAGGGTGGACATGCAGGCATGTGCAGAGAAGGCAGTGGCCCAAACCCCTGCCAGTGATGACCATTGCTGACATCTGGTGAGCGTCCTCCCTGAGTGTCTGTGAATTACGTTCACACACTGATTTTATAATAGATACATAGATTATTTTTCCCTCTAATGAGCTCATTTTTTTGATGGGCATTTTTCCTCATCAGTAAAGCTAGATTTCCATCTTTCCTGATGTTGGCTTAATATTCCACCTTATAGAGAAATTATAATTTATTTATTTAAAATTATTTTTTAATTGACTAGAGGCCCAGTGCACAAAATTTGTATGGTCAGGGGTGCGGGGCCTCTCCTCTCACAGTCTGGGAGCCTTCGGGGGGGATGTCCAACGGATGGCTTAGGCCCAGTAGTTGGACATACCCCAAGGGGTTCTTAATGCTGCTGCATCTGCCCCCTGGTGGTCAGTTTGCATCATAGTGACCTACAGTAGTTCAGCAGTTTGATCAATTTGCATATTAGCCTTTTATTAATAGGATTTGACTGGTTTCCTCTTGGTTGGCTTCTCTGGGTGTTTATTTTCTTCTTGTTTGTATTGGTCTGGGATGAATGTCCTTGTATAAATTCTATACAACCTTGGTTGCTTATTATTTGGGATAAATTCCTATAAGTAGGTTTGTGGGGTGTGTGTGTGTTTAAGTCAGGGTATTTTCATTTACATTTTTTACTTTTAGCCACAAGGACCTCCAGAAATGTACCATTTTTACTCCCAGGGCCCCTTTTCCTACAATCCCAACTATACAGTTATCATGTCTTTACCAATCTGACCACGGGGCACTTGTGTGGCTGCTGTGTCTGGGTCTCCATGTTATCCATGAGTTCAGCATTTTCTCTCAGGAGCTTCTGCTGTGAGTGCCTGGCCGTATTTTCTACTCGCCTCTGTGTTGGGGTTTCTTTGTCTCATGGATTTGCACACATTTGTGGGAACTTGCTATATTTCTCCATTTAGACGCTGTCCGGTACCCGTCACATATGCCACTGTTTTTCTGAGTGTGTCTTCCCACGTGGCTGGTGGTGGTTCTGCCGTAGGGAACTGGGACAGTAAATGTGTCCCAGACACAAGTGTTCTCCTTTGTGTCTGGGAGATCTTCAACTTAAAGATATAAAAACAGTTCACCTGCATTGTCTCCGAATTGTATATGTTGCACTTAAATCCTTGAGTCATTGAAATTCAACGGTACTTGTGGGTCTTCCTGGGGTGATCCTGCGCCAGGGGACAGGACAGTGTCTGAGGACATCTGTAGTTGTTAAGATTGGGGATGCTCCTGGTATCAGGTGGGTGGGGTCAGGGATGCCAGTTCAACACCCCACAGGCCCAGGAGAGTCCCCCACCGGGGATGACCAGGTCCTGATGTCAGCAGTGCCAACTGGGGACCCTGAACAGTCTGGCCCTCAGGTCTAGAGGGACTCATTCCTCTTTATTACAGACCTGAATCTGTGTCATTACCACAGAGGAAAAAGGCCGCTAATTACATTTCCACATGTGCTACTGAGAATTTTTCTAGGGAAGATGATTTGGGAACATCATCTGGAGACAAAACGTTCCAGCAGTCTGAGCTCAGTGGCTGCTTGAGTTTCACTCTGATGTGTCAACGGGACGTCACAGAGTGGCTGAAATTCCAAGCGTCTTCTTTGGCTTTGATCCCTTTACATACAGCTGAGGGTTGTATGTAATTCTGCCCCCCCAAGGGCAGTAGGCCAATCTGGGGACATTTGTGGTTATCACAACGGGGGTTCCTGGCATCTAGAGGGTGGGGCCAGAGATGCCACTCAGAGCCCAGTGCCCAGGATGGCCCCATGGAGAGTTACGTGCCCTGTGTCAGCTGAGGGGGAATCCTGATGGAGGGAGACAGAATTATTGGCTGAGCTGGCACCCACAAGCGGGTCTGGCAGGGGTTACCAAGTAAACTCCTCAAAGCGGGTGATGCCAGGCTTTCCCTGATGGTTTTAAAAACGTTAACAGTCACTTGTGGAGGACATCGTGTTTGCCAGGCGCCGTGTTAGCCATCCACAGGCATCCTCACATTCAGTTCCTACAGCACCAGGGGCCGAGGGGCCGGGTTAAAGGTCTCTGACAAGCGGAAGATCAGATCCAGGGTCCAAAGCGTGTAAGACTCTGAGCAGGGTCTCCCATGACTGAGCAGCACCTCTCCCACGATCGGTGTGTCGCTGAGTGAGGGTCCCTGCTGCCCGTCCTGAAGGCAGAGCCAGCGCTCTGATCCCATTCTCTGAATTCCTGCCAGTGGGTCGTGGGGTTTGCCCTGCATGGTCTGAAACTGGGTGACATTTGCCATTCCCTCTGGCAGCCACTAGAGGGCAGAGAAGGCCCACAGGATCAGACTGGGCCTTGAGCCAGGCGACAGTGGAAATTCAGATGGGTGTAGGTGGGTATCCAGACATCTTCAGTCACCCCTTGTCTCACTCGGCTCCCTGTGACCACCTGTCCCTGTTCCCTGAGACATTCTGATTCAGCACCGAGAGTCCCGTAGTCACCCTGCCCTGGGGGCCCTCTGCTTGGCAGACATGGAGACTCCCATGTGTGGGTGTAGGGAGGCAGAAACCATGGGCTCTGTGGCTTTGGGTGTCAGTACCCGCCCCCCCCCCCCAAACCTACCATGGCCCAGTGGCTGGAGTGAAGGCTTCACGAGGGAAGCGAGGAGGCAAGGTTGGGGGTGGCAGTCTCACTGCTGCTTTCGTACCCCAAGGACCGTCCTGAAATGACCTGAAGCTCTGGCCACATAGTACCTCTAAGGCTGGCAGCCCCTTTTGGGACTCATTTAAATGACACCAAGCCTCAGAAGCCCCCTCTGGCCCCCTGTGTGTGGAACCTGCCTGGTACTCGCACCCTCCCCCCGGGCACCCTCAGGGGTGTTATAGCTTTGAATACAGTCACCTGGGTGGTTATTGCTCGGCCTGGGTGACCCTCAGATTTCATTCATTCCCTCAGCAAGGATTTCCAAATGACTGCCGGGGCCAGGCCCTAGGGAAACCACCGTAACCAGGACGACCCAAGGCCCCCGGCTCTCACAGAGCTGACATTCTAGCGAGAGTCATGGACTCCTGGTCAGAGTCCTCGGACGTGGCCCAGTGTCCCCAGGGGT